GCCATAATTAACAAAAATTGGCATGCAGATCAACAATCTTGGGGAAATTAACCCTTGGTTAGTATGACTCTCCAATGAAGGTGATTGTTCCATCTAATAAGACATTCGTGGTAGAAATTTTCCGATCATACCCAATCTTGATGCTTGACTAGCCATCATCTGATTCTTTTGTTTAGTTTGTTCGGGCTTCATAGATCTTGCATTTAATGCATTTGATCTTGCATTAAATGTTTGCTCGGTGATATTGGGTTACGTAAGGTCTTTTTGATTCGTTTATCTACCATGCCCAACCATGGGAGAGCCAAGAGAGAAAAAATATTCTTCAGTGAATTCACTTCACTAGATCTCAAGACTCTTAACAATTTAGGGTGGTTCATTCAAGAAACTCTCAATGGTTTGGTGTGTAGAAGCAAAAATGAAGGACAATCTTCTTGGAGCCTTCTGACAATTAAAGTGAATTTTGTACAAATAGATTCATTTTCTTGAGTAGACAAAGTCCTTTTTTGGGAGCTAGAGTTCAAATTTTGATGAAATAAATATTTTAATTATTACTAATTTAATTTTTGTTGTCTTGAGATGTATAATTACATGCGTATATTATATTGTTGATTTTATATATGAGTTTTAACTAAGCATAATTATATGTTTAGTTATTTGAAAATGTTATATTATAGTTGTTATGATTGATCGATTGTGAGTGAACTTTAGTTTCTTGTTTGAGATTGAATATAATGGTTACACAATTAATGTATAATCACTGTATTGAATCTTGAATTATTCATTTGGACAATTTGGAAAGATACATATTTTTATAGTTGATTAATATATAGAAGGAGGTTAAGCCTCATTTTAAATTTATTAAGATTTTGGTTAAGTACATTTCTTGTTGTTTTCTGGGTGCATATTTGATTATAGTGAATTTCATGTCACTACTTTCATTTTGTGTACTTAGATACCAATACGAAATGTTGCCAAAATTTTGTCAAATTTAATGTATGGGACTTTACCTTTATGTATTAATCAATTATAAAGAATTATTTTTTTGAATGGGTAGAATCACAACTTGTATTAAAAAGTAAGATTGACATGGTTTATGTGAAACGAATGCACACTGATGGATTAGAGCTAGATGAACTGTTTACGCACAATTGTGAAATATGAGAATGGACTGGAGGAGTTTCTTTAGTTTGCACAAAGGAATGTTACAAACAATAGTGAAAGGTTATACTGTCCTTGTGTGAATTGTTTCAATTTGAAAAGGTATCTAATACATATTATACAAGAGCATGTTTTGTGCAATGGGTTCCTTAGAAGTTACATTATATGGATATGGTATGGTGAATTGTTAGACATGCCACATGTACAATGTTAAGTCAGACGAAGAAATTCCCAGTAAGGTTTTGAATGAGACAAATATAATACATATTGTTATCTCTAACAAATGTGTTAGTGTTTAAGATAAAAAAATTAGTACAGGCACCGAACGATTGATAGAAGCTTGAAAATTAAAGGAGTGAGCGCGGCGGCTCGAAAGATTGATAGAGGCTTGA